CATGCTTTTTTAAATTACTCGCTCTCGAAAACCTTTTTCCACATAGTTCACAAGAATATGGCTTCCCCTTTCTATAAATTTGTATATGTCTTTTCAGTCTGCATGCTCTGAGAGTGCACATGTTTCTCAGAGTTTGTTCATGTCTATTTGAATTACACAGTCTCGCAAATCTCTTCCGAAAGGTTTCACAAAAAATAGGGCTACTGCCCAGTATGAGTTTGTGTATTTCTTGTGAAGGTACATGCTATCGCAAAGCTCTTGCCTTATGTTTCACCACAATATGGCCTCCTTTCGGTACGAATTTGTGCATGCTTTTTTCAAATTACAAGCTATTGTGAATCTCTTCCCGCATGTTTTACCAAAATACAGACTCTCTCAAGGATGAGTTTGTCTACTTCTCTTCAAATTACACGCTATCGCAAATGTTTCACAATAATACGGCCTCTCCTCAGTATGAGTTTTTGTATGACTTTTTGCTTTTCAAAGTTCTTGCTATCGCGAATCTCTTCCCAAAATATGGTTTGGTATTATACATATTTTAACTTGAATCTCCACGGCAAATTGGACTTGTAGTTCGCTTAGTGCTGTATGTTTCTATGAGTAAAATGTAATATTATCGCTAAACTTGTCAAGGAAGCAAGTGTCCTTGTTAGTCTTCATGTCCGACTATATACACCTTGTTGTATTTTAATATTCTCCGTTAGTAGACATGAACAATATCAACTATTCATTTCACGCTCTTAAAAAGCCTTTTCCAGTTGTGTCATAAAATTATAGCCCCTTCCCAGCATGAGTCTGTCTTGCTTTCGAAATCCCTATTACACATAGTTAACAAGAATATGGCTTTCCCTTTCTATAAAATTATGTATGTCTTTTGCATAACCTCAAAGAGCCCTTTGCGCATGTTTCTCAAGAATATGTCCTCTTCCGAGTATGAGTTTGTTTATGACCATTCATATTACACGCTCTCGCAAAGCTCTTTCCAGAAGTTTCACAGGAATAAGACCTCTCCTCAGTACGAGTTTCTAAATTTCTTTTCAAATTACACGCTTATCGCAAAGCTCTCGTATGAGTTTGTGCATGGTCTTTCCGGTTAATCGATCTAACAAAACTCTTTCCACATAGTTCACAGAAATATGGCTTTTCCCTTCCAGGAATTTGTGTACGTCCTTTTAAACTACGTGTTTTCATTTGTGAAGCATACAAAAACTCATCCAAAAGAAAGGCCGCATTATAGTAAAACATGAGACAAGAGCTGTGTGACTGAGTGTAATTTGTAAATAAATACAACTCATACTGAGTAGGGTCCGTATTATTGTGAAACTTCTGGGAAGAGCTTCGCGAGAGCGCGTTATTTGTGTATACATAAACAAACACCTCATAATCAGAAAAGGCCATATTCTAGAGAAACATCTACAAAGAGCTCTTTCATGGCATGCAGTTTGAACAGGCATTGACAAACATAAAGAAGGGGGAAGCCAAAGCGTTTATATTGGAAAGGCGCAAACAAAATGACAAAACGTAAAAAAAATGTTTTCGAGAGCAAGTCATTTCTAAAGTACACGCAAACAAATATTGTGCAAATGCCGTATTTTCGAAAAGCATTCGGGAAGAGATAGGCGATAATGTGTAATTAAAAATCAAATACTCAAACTCATACTGGGGAGTGTCTTTTTCCACATATTTCAAAAGAATATAGCTTCACCCTTTGATGAAGTTGTGTATGTCTTTTCAAACAACGCACTCTCAAAAAGTTGTTTTCGCGTGTTTCTCAAGAATATAGCCTTTCCCGAGTATGAGTTTGTTTATGCCTATTCATATTACACGCTCTCGCAAAGTTCTTCCCAGATGTTTCACAGGAGTAGAGCTCCTGCCCAATATAAGTCTGTATATTTATTTTCTTATTACACGTTACTGCAAAGCTCTAGTCCAGCGTTTCCCAACCTTTTTTGGTCGCGGACTATTTTCTCACCGGTCAAACCTTCTGCGGACTCAAGGTGCGTTTACTGCAACCGTATACTCTATATGACAGGCAATAAAACCGAACACAACAGAATTTTAACAATGGTCTTTTCTTTCGCATAATATTCAATCCATGACAACAACGAGAATTTAAGATGTATTCCTATTTTAATTTAATTGTGTTCATGATAATTCGCGGTTGGGTCGAATTACGACAAGATGAAAGCATTACTTCTCTAAAATACAATGGCAATATGTGAACATAATAATGTGAGAATATATTGCCCGATTATACTTAGTTTTGATACATATTTTTTGCGATCTTGCGAATTTGTTATCGCCGTTAGAAAAATCCTCCTATCTGCTATAAATTTTCAGAAAGTAGAACTTGATTTAGTACTTATTAAAAAAATATTTAAAGTACATAAGTAAATCGAAAATACATATTCATCGCCATGGTTTATTAATTTTATTGTGATCATTTTAATCTGCGTTTGTGTTGACGAAATAAAAGCAATACTACTCAGAAAATATGATGACAATCCGTGAGCACAAAAATGTGTGGTAAAGTGCCCAATTATATTTTGTTTTGATTCGTTTTTTAGTGAATTTGTCAAATCTGAGCTGTTCGTACAACACCTACGGCAGTACTGTACTTACCAATGTGGAGGCAGTAAAGCAAAGAATCCTAAGGGAAAATGCCCTGGTATGGTAGCATCCAAAATTTTGCGATTTGCAATGTCTAAAAAGCGTTTTTAATCGCGGACCATCATAAAACAAAACATATGGTGTTCTTCGTTTTATTCTCAGTATTTTGTATTGACGCTTTTCAATTTAAAAAATTTGGATTGCCACCATTGACACCGACCAGAAAAAAAAATTATTCCTCGTTGTGAGAACTCGCGAGAAACACCACTTGGGTATTTATCGAAGCGTGTGCAGACTCGTGTTCTCGTCGGAAATCCGCAAGTGAGTTGTGAAATCCGGTTCCATTACATTTGAACTCACGACAATTGCACCTGCATACTATTTCACCTATGGTCGAGGGTTTCATTTTGTGATGATCAATAGACCATATTGTAAAAAAAATTGGAGAATTGGAAATAATATTATTCGTTATCAAGGTTTACATTTGACGCCAAAGTTCTTCAGTTTATCGCAATATCACAAAACAAACATTCAACTAACAGCGTACTGCTGGCATATACTGGTCATTATTACTGCAACAGCTTAGGTGTTTCAAAAGTATAACAGACCAGAAATTCAATACATTCGAGTATCTTTTGTTTGATTATTTCTGGCCCAAGCCTCGTTTTTACTAGGTTTGTGTTTTTTGTGTGTGCGCTGGTGGTCGGGCACATGATATCTCTCATGTTTTAAACTATTTTAAGGTTTTGCTCGCCCTTCAGAATTCTCCATTTTAAATTTGTGTATATTATAGAGTATTCAAATAAACTATCTATCTATTTAAATCGCAACGTGGCTGAATTTCTGGCCCGTTGCGGACTCATTTGAGACCGCGGACTCGGGTTGGGAAACACCGCTCTAGTCTCATGATTCACCGTAACACGGCTTCCCTTGGGTATGCTTTTTAAATGCCTCGCTCTCGAAAACTTTTTTCCATATAGTTCACAAGAATATAGCTTTCCCCTTCAATAAATTTGTCTATGTCTTTTCAAACAACACACTCTCAGAAAGTTATTTTTGCGTGTTTCTCAAGAATATAGCCTTTCCTGAAAATGAGTTTGTCTATGCCTAATGAAATTACACGCTCTCGCAAAGCTCTTTCCATAGGTTTCAAAAAAATACAACCCCTCCACAGTATGAGTTTGTGTATTTCTTTTTGTATTACCTGCCATTGCAACGTCTTTGCCTTATGTTTCATTATAATATGGCCTCCTTTCGGTATGAGAGCCCATTTGGCCCTCTCCTAGCCTCATCGACGACATCACAAAAGCTAGAGCTGACTGCTCATCATAAGTAATCAATTGAATGTTAAGGCATTAAAAACGCAACTAAAAGCATAAAATGGGGAAAACGAAAACTGCCAACGATTTGAAATATCTTAACTAAAACATTTAGACTTACGGAGAAGGGTTGATCTAGCGTACTTTTATTAAACTTGCGAACTCTATGCCTCATTATGGTTAAAATATTTCGACCACGCGTAAGCTTGATGCATATACTACAAAACTTTTATTTGCTAATACAAACAATTAAGAATACAATCGAGAATATAGTTGATCAAAAATGATAAGAATAAATGCAGTTGAATCGAAAAAACATAAAACTTGTCAAACACCTCAGTAAATTGGTTTTGAAAACTTTAATTGAAAATCCTATTTTGTTAATGATATTTTCAAGAGTTTATATTAAAAAAATATGCTTAAAGCAAGATCTCGCGTACTCACTCAGAATCATAGGAAAACTGAGCAAAGTTATGGAAACCACTGGAGTGCCAAGAGCTACTGAAACGTTAAAAAGTTGTCGAGATAATTCGCAGTTATAGTAAATACTGATTGACGGAAGACTTGAAGGGTTCGACATAGAACGGTATATATACATTGGGATCTTGGTGATATTTAAAGATTTGGAAGAATTACGTAGAAAATAAATTGATTTACAAGAGAGTATATAAGTTGATTTGAAAGATGGGAATATTTGTGAGCAAATAATTGTTTCATCGATTTGTGAGGACTTAACATTACAGCTATTGATCCATTTGATTTATTTCGCATCGCCATGATAGTGATATTGGACGTTTCCAGCACCAATAATCACGGTACGTCCTTCCACTGATTGTAAGTTAGCTGAAAGCAATTAAGTACTAACATAAATACTGATTTAACTACCCTATACCGAGTGAATAGAAGATTATATCAATATTATCAATAATAAGTATATATAAAATAGTAAAGTAAATTTAATAAATACTTTCATAAGTACTTAATTGCTTTACATTGTATTTTATTATTCGTAAGAAAAACTAAACCAACAAACGTTTCCCGCATCTTGTTTACTTGAAAGCAAAAACTTACTTGTTTTATCGTGGGCACAAATGCTCAGATTGTTCATCTTATCCGAAAGCTTGTTCAGCCCGTCAGTAAGTGCTGAAAAATTGGTAAAGCTCGTTAAAGTGTAAATAATTGATAGCGTGGTATCCGGTGGAATCTTATTTTTTTATTATTATTTCACAGACACAAATACAATAAATATTTGTTAGGACTTTGCTCTCCGAAGTCGGCGCTGGATGATAACCACTAATCTTTTAAAATTAGAAGATCTATTTATTTGCTAACTCCTTTATTTCCAGTACATTTTAGAAGCTAGAATTAGCAGTAGCCGGCAGCAATCCATATTTTGGTTGTGTCTTGAATGGCCACAGCCAAGTTAAATTATCAAATTTCTGTGTTTGTAGGTCGGATTTTAGCTTTTCCAAGTTTTTAAACAACGAAGGACTTAAGTAATATAAATCCACGGCAAAGATATTATTTAAAGAAAACTAAAAGTCACTTTACAGCATAAAAAATGCTATTATATTATTACCCCTTCGTTTAGGTCCGGGGTCGGGAACCCATGGCTCGCGAGCCATATATGGCTCTTTTGGTGTCGACATATGGCTCCCAGGAAATTCTAATATTGTAAGGCTAAGCTTACTATTGTTACGAGATTTCAAACTCTTTTATAGCCAAATTTGGCAGAAAATTCCCAATACGTTTGAGAACGCGCGTCCAGCACATGTCTATGTTATGTAAGATAATTACCAGACAGGCATTGCACAAACAAGGGGATTTTGGAACATATATTGTGACATCACAAAGCGATAGAGTTTTAAAAACACTACGGAGATGCCTAAACGAAAAAGGGTGATGAGTATCGTAGATTTCAACTTGGGCTGCATGTGAGCAATCGTTCAATGCCCGCAGCGACTACATGCAGCATCAGATAATCACATTAAATGTATATTGTTGACATTGTATGTGTTGACTTTTGAGTAAACATTTCAGGCCTGATTAAGTGAAGAAATGTTATATGGCTCGCACGGAAATGCAATTGAAAATATGTATATTTTATGGCTCACTTGACCAAAAAGGTTCCCGACCCCTGGTTTAGGTCATTTACACAAAATTCAATTTGAAGTAGCTTTTCGCAGTCAAAATAATCTATGTTAATAAACGTACCTTGTACAACGCTGGATTCATTCTTGAAATGCTCGCGGATAATCAGACATAAATTGTCCGGTGTTGCTCCCATTCCTTAAAAAATAATTTAATCATTAGTAAAGGCGATAAAAGAAAGGAACAAAAATTATATCATCGCACGCATTTCACACGGAGCTTACAATAATTTTCAATAAAAAATTACACATTCAATAAAAGTTACTCATGGAATGTTCAAACTTAATTTATTTTTTATAAAACGTTCAGGCATATTTTCATCTATGACCTCGAAAAAGTTGAACTTTCAAAGCGGACTCAGAGTGTGCAAAATTTTATTTTCAAACTACTGCAAATTTAAAGATACGAGCACGGATCCGACCGAAAAATAACCAGTATGAAACAGAACCCCCTACACCCCATCCCTAGAATGTATTTCATCGTACTACCTCTAACCCGCTTCCATCTTCTGAGATCCTCCATTTTCTTCTCTTTGGTCTCACTTTCTTCCCACATCGGCATTTTCAATCCATCCTCGACGAAGGCTTTCCATTCAGATTTATCAGGAATGAGACGAATCAACACTCGAAAGACTTCTTCCAAATCCTCGTTATCTGTGGAAAAGTAAAAACATAAATCTCTAACGAAAAATCTCGATACCATTCGAAATGTATTTCTAGCTGTTTTCAAAGTACCGTATTTCCGGCTAACAAGTCGCTTTTCTAGACCTAATTTTTCGGCCGGATTTTTGAGGGGCCGTCTTATTGGGCAGGTAAGCTTATTCTGTTTTTCTGCGGTCGTTTATTTTTCGCAGGAGTCTTCTCAAACATGATTTGTGTTAACCTTATATTTGGTTTGATATATTTTATTAAGTACTCGATGACCAAAGGATTTGTCAATCCTGACATTTCATTGACTTTGTAATGGCATCTGTTATTTGTCATATTCTTTTCAGAAACACCCGTGTAATCATAACTTGCCGGTGTCATGAACCTCTTTCTATTTACGACCGCCCGTTATCGGTACTTCAAAGAGAAACACGGCCACCGAGATAAAGTGATTATCACCCTTCCGTTTTCCGAAACAACACAGTCATGAAAACACAGCTGTTAACAAACCCATGGACGTACAGTGTAGTACTTATCACACTGTATTCAGAGGTTATTTCAACGTTCGGGTTAATTGGTTGTTCAAAATGATTGCAGCTTTTTAACTTGAAGTTACCGCTTTTATTGTTAAAAAATAATTAATTCTGTGAGTATGATTCTACCAAATAAATATGATCTGGTTCTAGCCATAAAAAATTATTATCGCATAGTAGTGTTTAACTGACTAACAGAGAAGCAATTTTTCTACCCCGTCTTATTGGATGGCTATATGGAAAAATCCTCTTTTTAGTGCTAAGATAGACATCGTCCTATTTGCCGGGTAGACTTTTTAGACTAAAGTTTATCACCTTTATTGTTTCCTTTATTCCTTCTCATGTTTTCTCTTTGATTTTCTGCGCATTTGCTTGTTGAAATTCCGTCAAAATCTCCTGTGTAAGAGAAACAGAAATATATTAAGATAATAAATATTAAGGAAGGTTAGTAGTCAAGTTAAAGTGGAATGTTTTTGTGCATTGTGCATTAAATTGAATAACTTCATAGATTAGACATGTGAGTCGACATGAAGTGCAAGCATGTTTAAATAAAATTGGTGTCCGGTCTAAGCATAAAGCAAAAAAGGAGTTTGTACAGATAACGTTCATGGTACCTTTCACAATTTCTTCGTGCGGGCTTTCTGTGCGCTTGCCGATTGAAGTTTCGCGGGACATTCTCTCTGAGCAACAAAGTATTTATGAAGTAATTAACGTATGCCAAAAAATGAAGCTTAATTACAAAATGATTCTATATATATATGTTTGAACTATTATAATTTAGCAGGTGACCCAGAATTATGTCACGTGTATTATTTTTCATTAATGTAATGGAAAGTAAATGCTTCGTAAAATAATGGGAATAAGAAATTGTTTTAATACTTGTATTAAATTATTTCCACGGAACGCCATTCTATAAAAAATATATTCTTGGGAATTTTGAACTAATTTTGCTCATTTTGATATAGGTTGAAAAGTAATTATACTCAAATATCAACATTACTAAATAGCCAATTCGCCTACTCATTTTGTTTGGATTTTGTTCAGATGAAAACATAATTTTTTTTTAAATCGTATTATTATTTTGTGCAATTCTCAAATTTGAATAAAAAAAATTGAAGATTCAAATAATTTTACTTACGGAATGCTGTAAATAACAAATACAAAAGAAATAAGGAATGCTGTGTTATGTGAATGCTGATGTGATAAGTAACTAAACATTCGAAGCAGTTGTTTGCGCTCACATTATAAATCACTAATATTAACTACTATTTTGTAAGAGTAACAGAATTCTGCGATGTGAATGTGATTTAAAGAATAAAATTAATGCTTTTATCAGATTATTTTCCAGGAACATCATTCTAGGAATGAATATAGTCATTGGAATTTTAAGTTATTTTTGTTTCTAGTTCGAATGGAAAGCCGTGACTGACTTTGTTTATCAAGGAAAAATATGAAAATTGTAAATACACACAGAAGAATAAATTGGGAACTTTGAAAAGCAGAAAATTAGTAGAACTGATATCTAGTTGATTAACTAGATAGCATAGAATGTTGGAAGTCAAAAAAATTGGCGTATAGGTTAGCAACGGGCTATCATTAATAAAATAAGATAGCAAATTTTGAAAAAATCAAAAATCTCGCGAACCAGGTATACGCCCAGATACTAAATGGCACGAATGCAAAACAGTAATTTTTATTACAATAGAGTAATTTTTACTAAACATTTATTTCCTTATCATATATTTTTTATTTCATTATTCCTTGTTTGCATTCAGCGATTTTTTTAAACCATGAATTTACTTATGCAAAAAAGACGCTTCAAAGTTTTTACGCTGCAATATTGTCCTCCATATACAATTACTATTGAGCAACACTTCAATACCAAATGCAAAATAAATCAAATGTTACTGAAAAATGAAACCAATATTTAGGTTTTTGTTGAAAAAACAAGCGAGCCAAAAGAATTTCCAGGTGACCCAGATTGAGGTGAATGAATGAACTTTTTACTTAGGAGCTTTCAATGGTAAAATAGAAGTATCTGAGTCTTTCTAGCAAGAAGAGAAATATTTACAAGTTATGACTGAATTGTTTTCATAAATTATTTCACGATCACAGTGGAAATGTCATCTTTGAGGATTTGAGGGCGGCAGCATAAGATGGAGAATTCGGTTTCGATAAGATTTTCGATTTATAATAAACAGAATTATAAGTGGACTGAATTAGTAGTTTTCAAAATAGCAGAATATTAGTGAAACTGTACTCACCATTCCCTGTAATATAAAATAGGAATAGTATAATTGAAAAACAGAATAATGTACTATATTGATATTGAGTGTTTGAAAAGGACAATTTGGAGCCTTATTAGCATCGGAGCATACTTCATTGAATGCGACTGCATTACACAACAATATATGAATAGGTATATTATATTTTAATTATTAGATCAGGGTGATCCAAACCCAGGCTAGCGGGCCGCATCTGGCCCGCTGTATCATTTTGGTAGGGTAATTGAATACCGTGTTTGACCAGCCTAAACTGTTTTAAAATCTCTTCCTTCGGGAATATTCGTTAACAATATCTTAACAATATTCTACATAGAAAACTAAATATCAGCCTAGCATTACATTCCCTACCCCATTGTCTTTTTGTAATCACCGTGTACAGAAACACTAAAAGTAGAGCCGATATGTCAGAAAATTTAGTAAATATCAATTTATGTCGCGATAGCAGTGATTTGTAAGTCGCTTTGTAAACGTGAGTTCCGAAGGAAATCTGACCAATTCAAACAAAATTTTAACCCGATATGAGAAAAAAGTATTTGCTGGGGAAAATAAAACCTCAATGCCTGATATGTCTGCAAGTTGTGTCAGTGATAAAGAATATAATCTAAAACGGCATGTTATCGATGTGCGGAAGCGCTTTATTTATGAAAGCACTTTCTCCGTTGTAAAATGTTTGAAATCTAATACACGGAACAGGCCGGGAGACGAAACATTGAATGTCAGTTAAGGAATTCCAAGAACCAACATAATTGTTGTTTATAAAACATTGATTATTGATGAACAATAATCAAATGTCTTGAAAATAATGTGGCCCGCGAACAGCACAAAATTATTATTGTGGCCCTCGACGCCGACAACCTTGGACCACCCTGAACTAAATGAAGGAACGTTGAAAAAATCTATCTAAGTCGCAGTTTTCATCGGGGCAAATTGATAATTTTGAAATAGCAGAATATCAATAAAACTGTACTCACAGTGCGCTGTAATAAAATAGAAATAGTACAATTGATTAACTAGATAGCATAGTAAGTTAAAAAAATTAGCAACGGGCTATCAATAATAGAGTGAGATTGCCCGCCTGTAGCAAATTTTGTAAAAAATAAAAAATCTCACGAACCAAGGATACGCCCAGATACTAAACATCACTAATGCAAAACAGTGATTTTTACTCAACAGCGATTTTTTCGAATCATGGCTTCACTTATGTAAAATAGACGCTTCAAAGTTTTTACGCTGCAATACTCCCCCATATACAATTACATTGTGCAACATTTCAATGCAAAATATGAAATATATTAAAATTGGTTTTTGTTGAAAAAACAAGCGATCCAAAAGAATTTTCAGGCGACCCAGCCTTGGCTCACAATCCATATGTTGGGCAACACTGTCCTGTAGCACAATGTAATAGGAGGCCCTAAGTATATGAAAATATCCAATTGACATAAGATATTCAAAATCTACTGGTGAGTCTTGCGTTTCACGCGCATTCATTCCTGAATAACTCTGGTATACTAGATTAAGAGTTTAAAGATAGAATTTGGAATCACAAGTAACCATAGTCCATGGCATGTGGTTGCCAACGTGAAACAATGGGCGGTAATGGAACCTCTAATTTATATGCAGATTTTTTTATCATTTATATTATACGGGGTGTCCATGAAGTTCACTTTTGTTACAAAGTCAATATATATGAGAGTCAATATATCTTTACCAGGTTTGTTTATTTTTAATTAGTTTTTATTTAGGTATTTTTAATACATCTGTGAGGGCCAATATAAGGTATCGATAAATTCCCTTTATGGACACTCTACCCTGGACACATTCATAAAAGAGCTGGTTACGCTCTCGTGCAAAAATATAGCAATAAATACACTTTTTTACTCAGTAGCTTTAATGGTAAAATAGAAGTATCTGAATCTTTCTAGCAAAGAGAAAAATATTTACAAGTCTTGACTGAATTGTTTTCATAAATTATTTCACGATCACACTGGAAATGTCATTTGTGAACGGTTTGATGACAGAAGCATAAGACAGAGAATTTGGTTTCGATAAGATTTTCGATTTATAATCAACAGAATTATAAGTAAAATGAATTAGTAGTTTTTGAAATAGCAGAATATTAGTGAAACTGTACTCACCTCTCACTGTAATATAAAATAGGAACAGTATAATTGAATAACTAAATAATGTAATATATTGAGTGTTTGAAAAGGACAATTTGGAGCCTTATTAGCATCGGAGCATACTTCATTGAATGCGATTGCATTACACAACAATATATGAATAGACATAACATAGTGTATTTGAATTACTAGATCAGGGTGATCCAAACCCAGGCTGTATCATTTTTGGTAGGGTAATTGAATACCGTGTTTGGCCAGCCTAAAATATTTTAAAATCTCTTCCTTCGGGAATATTCGTTGACAATACCTCAATAACCGACATAGAAAACTAATATCAGCCTAGCATTATATTCCCTACCCCATTATCTTTTTGTAATCACCGTGTACAGTAACACTAAAAGTGGTGCCTATATGTCAGGAAATTTAGTAAATATCAATTTATGTCGCGATATTATTCTGCTGTAGCCTTCTTCACAATTGCCGAAATTTAGTAATCGATCAATCTGCAGTGATTTGTAAGTCGCTTTGTAAACGTGAGTTCGAAAGGAAATCTGACCAATTCAAACAGAATTTTATTTCGATATGAGAAAAAAGTACTTGCTTGAGGAAAATAAAATCTCAAAGCTTGATATGTCTGCAAGTTGTGTCAGTGATAAAGAATATATAATCTAAAACGGCATGTTATCGATGTGTGGAAGCGCTTCATTTATGAAAGCACTTTCTCCGTTGTAAAATGTTTGAAATCTAATACACGGAACAGGCCGGGTAACGAAACATTGAATGTCAGTTAAAGAATTTCATGGACCAACATAATAGTTGTTTATAAAACACTGATTATTGATAAAATAATCTTGAAAATAATGTGGCCCGCGAACACCACAAAATTAATATTGTGGCCCTCGACGCCGACAATCTTGGACCACCCCATGCTAAATAACGTACTACAATGAATGTTGAAAAAATCTATCTGAGTCGAAGTTTTCATCGAAGCAAATTGGTAATTTTGAAATAGCAGAATATCAGTAAAACTGTACTCAAATGCTGCTATAATAAAATAGAAATAGTACAATTGATTAACTAGATAGCATAGTAAGTTGAAAGTTACAAAATTGCAGTGTAAATTAGCAACGGGCTATCAATAATAGAATGAGATTGCCCGCTTATAGCAAATTTTGTAAAGAATTAAAAACTTCACGAACCAGGGATACGCCCAGTTACTAAACGGCACTAATGCAAAACAGTGATTTTTACTCAACATTTATTTCCGTATTTTATATTTTATTAATATTTGTTTGCCATCAGCAATTTTTTTGAATCATGGCTTTACTTATGTAAAATAGACGCTTCAAGGTTTTTACGCAGCAATACTTCCCCCATAT